CACATACACACACACACATACTGACATGCCCACGCTGTGCATGCCCACACTGTGCATGCACACACACGAACACACACATGGTGGATGCTCATGTGTCTCAGATTCAATTATCTTTTCAAAGTTTGGTAGATTCGGAGACATGTTGGCCAGAATTTCATAGCCGAAAGTCGCCAACACCGGCTTGACGCTAGTTAACTCAGGCTTTCTGCTAGCTTCCAGTTCTCTTCTCACCGCAACAACACACCAACCACCATGGTATCTTTTTGGTGTCTCTGCAGTGCAGTTGACTATGGTGGTGGGCTGGGGTGCTGCTGCTGTTGCTGCTGCGGATGATGCTGGCATGATGGACGGCTTTCTTGCCACTACTGTACCGCAAATTACGCTTGAAAACACAGCTGATGTGGTCTCCAGGTCTGGACAAAACGCACACGGAAAACAGCGCAGTATTTCTATATTAAAATTGTCACAAGTATTCATCCAGGTAGAAAATGCCATGTGTATCCTGATTCCTGATCATCACATAGTTTCTTAAATCTACCATTGCATTTCTTTTTACGAGTTTCACATTTATGCACGATCATTAGGCAAGTAAAAGAGATGATACTCACCCAGGACATCCATTTTCTCATGACTTGGCAACTTGGACAGTGTCTCGAGGAGAGACGTCCAGGCCAGATTAATAGTGTCAACCTTACTCCTCTTCACCATCTTCAACAGGTCAGTTCGGCGATGACGATCAGCATGTGCAACATCACGATAAAATATGTCAATCTTAGATAAAAGGTTACAACTTCGGGGCTGTTCAACTTCACGGCGTAGTGGATGGCCCTTGCAACAGAAGTTTCCCTGGGTCTGTACTTGACTGGAGGTTGATAAATCGAATGCTCTGTACATGCAGCATGCGTGTGTAACAAACCAAAACAAAGCTATTCAGTGATAGAAGTATTCACTCGATAAAGCTTGGTTTTACTCACCTCTCGCCAAAGTTCCAAACATCACTCGTAAAATGGCTACCGATATCTCCCTGTCCAGCATGACCATGCACTGCCGACGAATCCACGACGAAGAGTGATAATACTACAAAAGGGAAGCGGAAATCTGACGAGAAGGTTTATGTATGGAGACGTCAAAACTGCTCCGCTTGCAGGAAGAACCAAAATAGATTTTGACATTTTGAAAATCCCGCGCCGCGGAATTGGTGAATGTGGCACAAAAAAGATTATTTGGAAAAAATCGGCGTGCTCCAGCGCGAGGCGAGCATGGATCACGCTCGCGCATCTCGTTTCCACTCCCGGTATTTGACGACTCCCTGACTGATATGCATGCATAAAAATCGTTAGCACTCGCTTGGAACACTAACGATTATCGATTGCACTGTTAACGATCGATATCCGAGTTATCGATATAATTGTTTCAGCCGGTGCCCTAATAATAATAATAATAATTTTGAAAGGATTGGGAGAACTTCAAATTCAAAGGATCAATTGGGAAAGTGAACTGCCTGAAAAGAGAAAAAAATCGCCAGACCCACCAGGACTCGAACCCGGGACCTTGCTTGTCATGAGCAATGCTCTAACCACTGAGCTATGGGACCGGGCTGAACCCAGAAAGCGCTGACAAGATTTTCACTTCAAAGGCAGCTCACAACACGTGCCACACATACTGATGGCACTTGGGTCTTTCTCCCTCCCCCAGGGGACCAACCACGGTCAGTTTCTGGACCCTACCAGAAGTGAAAAGAGAGTGATAAATTTTGAAAGGATTGGGAGAACTTCAAATTCAAAGGATCAATTGGGGAAGTGAATGTGGCGATTTTTTCTCTTTTCAGGCAGTTCACTTCCCCAATTGATCCTTTGAATTTGAAGTTCTCCCAATCCTTTCAAAATTTATCACTCTCTTTTCACTTCTGGTAGGGTCCAGAAACTGACCGTGGTTGGTCCCCTGGGGGAGGGAGAAAGACCCAAGTGCCATCAGTATGTGTGGCACGTGTTGTGAGCTGCCTTTGAAGTGAAAATCCTGTCAGCGCCTTCTGGGTTCAGCCCGGTCCCATAGCTCAGTGGTTAGAGCATTGCTCATGACAAGCAAGGTCCCGGGTTCGAGTCCTGGTGGGTCTGGCGATTTTTTCTCTTTTCAGGCAGTTCACTTCCCCAATTGATCCTTTGAATAATAATAATAATAATAATAATAATAATAATAATTTAGGAATGGGTTTGCTCCCACACTGGAGCTCGCGCTATTCCGCCGACGACTTGACACTTGACTGACTCACGACTGCCATCCAGAGAACACGAGAAGTCCATCGAACCTTCGACTCGGCAAACCTGCAAGAAAGCACCACTCCCTGCTCAATACACAGTGTTTCGGGGAATTCACCCCTCATCAGTTGAGCTTGAGTAGGCTGAGGAAGATTGTGCCTGAAGAGCACCACTTATATAGTGCTGTCCAGGCACAAACATCACCAGGGATACAAACTTACAGAGACACTCCGTTTCCAGCGCGACAAACACCTCGTGAACACCAGATAGCAGCGTGAGTCAGTTATCGCTCCTGGACGGTGAGAACAGACGAAGAGGACCCTCGGTCATTCACAACGCTGTCACCTCCAAACCACCTAGTCGCACGCCCGCGCTGGGCACAACAGTACGAAATAGAGGTTGCGACTTCGGCGATGATTTTGTTTAGGAATGGGTTCTTCTCGTGTTCTCTGGATGGCAGTCGTGAGTCAGTCAAGTGTCAAGTCGTCGGCGGAATAGCGCGAGCTCCAGTGTGGGAGCAAACCCATTCCTAAACAAAATCATCGCCGAAGTCGCAACCTCTATTTCGTAATAATAATAATAATAATAATAATAAGGCCAAAACAAATAATGACCTTGTTTCCGGTCGCCCGACCGGGCCACTTTTTCCCAAATTCTGAAACTTTTTTTGGTCCCAAATGTATACAAACAGTGGCAATGCCATGTGTGCAAGTGCACTCAACGAGTCATAACTCAGTCAAATCTCAACCGAATTCCACAATCGAAACACCTACAAGGTAGCAGAGATTTTCAGCTGTCGGTTCGAAAACCTCCGGGGTCGATACGAGCTAGAATAACGGAGCTGGAAGGACTCGAACTGTTTGCTTGATTTTTCAGGATGTACGAAAACAGGAATACACCACATGCTGTACAAGAAGGCAGTGAGTCAGTCAACTTTGACATTGATCCTTGCCATTATAATGTACAATGCATACATGTATGTGTACAGTCCATTCAGAAAAAAATGAACTTCTAGCTTTTGGCCATAAATGGGTCAAACGTTGAGTTTTTTTAGAATTTTTTTCTGCAATCCCATATGGAATCCTCTTCCAATTATGTTTCTGAAGTTTTTTTGTCCAAAAAGCAAGCCATAGGAAGAATAGGATTTCGGCCAGGTTTTGCCCCAAAAGCACTGAATTGGGAAAAACCATCAAAATCCAGGCCGTTTGACCCCGCCTGCAACAGTGCATTCTGCGGTTCGAACCCCAGTTCAGGCACCCTTTTTGGACCCTTTTTCAAATTTCAAAGTTCGCAGCACTGCACTGTGTACGATGAAATCACGAAAAATCGCCAAATACGGGAGCTCGCCAGAGCCAGGACCCATCTTTTTATGAATGGACTGTAGGTGCTCTTGTCCATCAATACCACAACGATTGAGGAACCAAAAAAAGTATCCAAAAAAAGTTTCATTCCGGCCGACCGAGTCTCCTTTTTGAGGGGTTGCCGACCGGAAACAAGCCTATTTTTTTTGTTTTGGCCTAATGATGCTGTGAAGAAGAGGTTGGTGTGACTTCGGCGATAGTAGGGGAAGAGAGTGTTGCTCCCTACATGTACATGGGAGCTCGCGGTTTTCCTGCCGACTTGAATCAGTACCCTAGCCTGTCTGATCTAGGCACCGGGCAAATATGCTCGAAAAATCACCCATCATGCTTTCTCGCAATTCTTTCAAACATGCCGATATATATCGATAATTCCCAGAAATTCTCACAAATTTTTGCTTGAAATCCAGGTTTTTCTTCGCATCCAACACAAAAGGTTGCATTCTCAAACATAAAGGAAACAAAAAATTATTCTTTTTCTGTTTTCCGGCTCTGGCAAGTTTCGATAGCTTTGCTGGTTTCAGCTTGTTCAGCAGAGAAGCCACCTTCTTGCTTTCCTCATCCCTTTCACTTTCAGCCTCCTCCCCATCCGCACTATCCACTCGACAAACGTCAGTAACCAGCCGATTATGCCCGCGAAATCACCGATTATGCTCGTGTGATTTTTGCACCCTAAAATGCTTGATTTAGTGCCGGCATATTTGCCGGGTCCCTAGTCTGATCGGCTCCCTGCTCCGCAGCATTGATCACTTCAGCAGTAGGTCTACCCTGCCTGATCGGTTCTGATGAAAAAAATCCATATCAACAGCTACTGTGTTTTTGATCTTGATTTGCAAATAATAATTTCTGGGGTTGACACGCTCTCACGTACCCAGAACACTGGGAAAGTGCGAAATAATTTGGGACCCAAAACTAGATGATTACCCTCACTTGACTGACTCACGACTGCCATCAAGAGCACACGAGAAGTCCATCGAACCATCCACTCGGCAAACCTGCAAGAAACCACCACTCCCTGCTCAATACACAGTGTTTCGGGGAATTCACCCCTCGTCAGTTGAGCTTGAGTAGGCTGAGGAAGATTATGCCTGAATAGCACCACTTACATGTATATAGTGCTCTCCAGGCACAAACATCACCAGGGATACAAAAATACAGAGACCCTCCGTTTCCAGCGCGACAAACACCTCGTGAACACCAGGTAGCAGCGCGGGTCAGTGTCGCTCATGGAGGTGCTGAACAAGCACTCGACCTGGACCTGGAAAAGGAGACTGGAGTGTCCATTTAATTTAGGGGTGAACACTGCTCACTGGAAAAAATGAGTTGAATTCAGACGTTGCCGGCATGCCATCTAAGAAGCGAAAATTTCCCGCACAGCAAATCAAGATGAATATTCAACATCAATTGAGCCTCCTGGACCCGCACTTGAAAAGTTGACAGCCAACACTTGCATTGACCGCAAGAGAAATTTGTAATTTTACACAGAAAGAGGCAAGAAGGACACCCGGTCCAAAGATGAAGAACAAAAATCAAGCTAAATACGGTGTGCATTTTGACAAAGGCGCTGAGAGTTGCAGTACTCCAGTTAAAACGCTGAATGGAAATAAACTACTAAGTGCATGTTTGTAGACATAGACATGGGGTGCACATCACCATGGACCACATCTCATAATAGCTCCTAGCCCCTAGCGCTAGCACGATAAAAGTATAAGTTAGTATGGTACAGAACCAGCCTACGAGAAATGGGCATGCATGCAGGAACACATGCTGTTTTCTAGCCTAGACAACAGTAGTTTACAGTAGGAAGAATTAGAACAACTCAACAAGCAAGAAAAGCGAATGAAATCAGCTTGAGCTTTCATGAACGTCAATGTATGATATGAATGCCAACGAGGCGTTAATTCCAGTTATCCCAGTCATTATCTTTACCATCGTAATATGCTTTTAACCATCAATATTCAATGTAGACCGTTGGAAGAGAGTGAGAAGTATGCTATAGGGTTAGCAGCACTACCAGCAAGAGTAGGAGCAGGATATAGTGCTACTAGCAGGTGTAGTATGTATGTACAGTGTATGAGTAGTGACAGCAGTCAAAAATAACTTCCCTTGGCCATAGCCACCGTCTCAGGTCACTGGGAAAATATAATTTACTCCAGGAAGTACGGAGCAGAACCTAGCTGATCTCTTCAGCCCCAGTCGTCAGATGCTATGATAGGGCCAAAGCAGCAACAGAATCAGCTTGAAGTTCACTCATCTTACTAACACCCATGAACGCAGATGACGCGTACTTTTCTCTGACAGCCTGTAAGAGCGGGAAACAAGAAGAAGCGAGGGTGTGTGAGAATATGTATGCACTTGTGTGTGCACGTTATGTAGGGAGATGACAGGATATCAAATACCAGAAAAAATGTTTGTTTCGACCCCGAATTTGGAAGTGTGCCCGTGGTCGCACACTTGTACTTGACAAGCACGCTGGCCATGTAAAGAGTACTAAAGACTGCTCTCGCACATGGCCAGCGTGCAGTAGGTAACCATGTGTAACAGGAGACCTGGCTGTACTTGTAAACCCGGAGAGCAAAAGTCTGATCTGGCGGCCTCTTGACCTCTCCACTAACTGTTTTTTTAACCTGTCAGTAACTATGGGAAATTTCGGACAAGAAAAAGGTTGCCAGGAAGTGACAGCCATCGTGGATGAAGTTCGGTATGAACGAACAAAAGCAGAAGGGGTCCAAACTTCTCGTCTTTTTCACTGTGTGCTGGCTGAGCATGAAGGGTTGCCTCAAGCACCTTCTGGAACAATGGGATACTCTGTATGCATTCTTTGATCATCAACGGGATAATCCGATATTAACCCTTGAGGGTCCGACCTAATTCACTTGAATACAGGAAAATTGAGGGAATGCAATATGTTCGTACCTCATTTCGGTCATAACTTTAGTTCTAATCATACAATCTTCACAATCTCGGGCATTTTGGAAAGGCCTCCACGAGGAGAGCAGAATTTGCACTGACTGAGTACTGTAGGGGTCACACATCCAGCGCTACGCCAAAGATCTGCGAAGCCTGACTCCGGGGTAACGCATACCAAATTATGATCTCTGCAAATTCACAAATTTTCGATCGCTACTCGATATTCATCGCCATTTTGGGGTGAAATCCTTTTTTGCATGCCTTTGGAGCGACAGAGCACAAGCTAGTGAAGTACCGTATTTCCCCGTAAGTTAGTACGTACTAACTTTCGAACTTAGCAGCCACATGAGTACTAACTTTCGGGGAGTACTTTTTTATCGGGGGTAAATGACACGTAGTGGGAAGCCTGCGCAACTCTAGTGTCCGTGCATATGATGTATGTACTGTACGGTGTCTGTACATGTAGGACGGGTACGAACTTACTATCTTTCGGGGGGAACTGTCTTTCGGGGTGATAACCTCGGGAGTGGAAAGTGTATTTTTATAGGGGGGGGGGGGGTACTAAGTCATTGGGGAGAACTAACTTACGGGGAAATACGGTAGTAACGTAGAGGCCCGAAATAATTAGTCGAATCGTCTCAAAAATAACAGTTGTGCGTTCTGCGATGGAGGAGAGTGAAATGGCGTTGATGGGACGAATTAGCTTGCATATCGGGCTTGGAGACGACTTTGCTGTGTTCCTGTGCTTGATATGTGGAGGTTGCTCGATGGAACCTGGTATCATCACGTTGCTCTAACCAGGAGCTTTCCAACGAGCCCAAGATTGTGAAAATCGAGTGAAGGAAGCTAAAGTTATGACCTCAGGTTGAAGGTGAAAATTGCGTGTCTGAAATTTCTAATTAGACTCGGGTGGAGAGCCAAGGATTAACCCTTTTCGTGCTGGCCCCTTTTTCTCCAGCAAACTGCGGTTCCAGTGCACTGACTCACTTGGTGTCGTTTTCGTGCACAGGTCCGAGGGAATTTTTCTCTCAATTCAGTTGATGGATTTTCGTCATCCTGGGCTTGTTGGAAAGAACAGGACCAAGCGAATCCATCCTGGTAGCTCTGATCTCAATATGCACGACGGTGCAACTTCTACGTCCTCTTGAAACTACCTCACGATGACTCGGAAGGGCACAGGAACTCGATCTCACATTCTTTTTCAGTTTCTTGCTCCAGTTCAGCCGATTTTCACGATTCAAACTGCGCTGCAAAGCTGAGATCCACGTACTTCCACTGGTGTCCATTACGCATGCGCGGTGCCAAAGGGAAATCCCCTGGCACACAACAGAAAACTGTGAACGTATGAACAAAAAAATTCACGATCGCTTAGTGCCGTGAATTTCGTGTTCACACCGTCGCCGCTCCGTTCATCTTTCTCCTATCGCGAAGAACTTTATATCGCTGGAAAGCTGAGATCAACACCTTTCCAACGGTGTATCGTTCTGCTTGTTCAACATGGTTGAACAAGCAGTCACGTGCTCCTGCGTACACCAGTCGCCTGGTCACCGTGCCTGCAGGGTGCAACTTACAGCCTGTTTGGGTGCATTCCTGTCACTCGAGTTGAACCTTGGTGTGAAAGTTGTCGCCTGCTGGCGCGGTGACCAGGTGACTTGTGTATGCAGGAGCACGTGACCGCTTGTTCAACCATGTTCGATTGTTCCCATTTAACCATGTGTCAGCCCTAATTATAAGAACATGTTCTTATATGCGCGGAAAAAGCAGTACAGTGTACATGTAGCTCTCTGTATGAATTCACCAACACCTTCTCAACACCTTCTCAACACCTTCTGAAGGTTCATTGTGTCCGAGATGGACCCAAAAGTCAATTCAAGTCCGTACCCAAACACAACTACTGGGCTAGACCACAACAGCCCAATGAATCAAATACCATTCGCCCACCCACCATCATGGACAGTGGACAGGAAATGCTACTTTGTACCACACCTACCGTGATTTTCTTCTCAGATGCCGTCTTGGAAAGGAGATTGCCTAGTTTGCGAGCACAGGGAAGAAGCTTTGCCTCACTGCAGCCACTGTGATGCTCAACAGTCGCATTCTACAGGTATCAGTATCAACAGAGCAACACAGCGCAGCACATGTACAAAATCAGTGATACACTGCTAGCAGCTAAGTAGGGGTGAAACGAACACTAGAACGTTCGACTAGGTTTGCGCCAAAAGGGAATTGAAGAGAATTTGATTCGCTACTTCAATGTGTCGAACATTAGTCGATGCATGGGTAGGTACGTGCAGTCCCATGCTTGTACTGCAACTAGCTATGCATATCACTCAGAGCTCAGCCAGCCACCCTCAGCCCCAGGCATGCTCTCATTACAGCACCTATTCAAACAAAACAGTATTGCAGATATTCCAATTCCTGGTTGTTTTACGTATTTGAACTTACAGTTCGGTTTTGAGTCGGAACTTCTCTCAGTAGCTTGTGCGATGGTGGGCTTGGGTGGGACACTTATTTGTGAAGAATAGTTCATGAGTTCGTCAGAATGTTTCGTTCGCCTCTATTGGGGTATGTTTCAGGCCTATGGTCACATGCGTGTGTGTGCGCGCGTGCACGTCGTGCATGGCCCACACAAAGCATCGACTTGGCTCACCAAAACGCGTACTCACCAGCAATGGATTTTCAAAATCTTGGTCTCTCTGAAAAACTGGGAATCTCCTTTTACTTGTCCAAAATAGGCCATATCCATGACGCCACAGACATACATTTTGTATGCGAATAGATCGGGAAATAACACTTTCCATTTTCACAAGGGAATCTGATGCTCTTCAAACTGAATATACTCGTATTTAATATGAATGTATGGAACATCGGACATCCAACTGGAAAAAATGCCTGGCAGGAAGTACGTTGTTGTAGTGAAACAAGAAAGAATTCGGTCATCCCCTATCTGTCCCAACACAGAGTCTGTCTATCTCTGTGACGTCACAGTTCTGGCCTCTTCTGGAAAAGTTATGAAGTCATAGTGATAAATTTCAGGGGAAGTCCGGTGAAATTTTTAACCCTTTAAGTGCCATAAGTGGTTGACAAGATTTTCCTGTCAAGTGCCACGATCAGCTGAGCAGGAGTACTTTCTGAATGCCACGGTCAGCTGGTTCTCACCCTTCCCTCAGTGCCACGCAGATTTTTGCAATTGTGCTATTTTACAGTTATAAACTTCAGGACGGCAAGTGATGGTGATATATTGCTACTACTCAAAGATAATGTATATATGATATGTTCAGAATATCATCAGCAACATGTTTCAGAGCTCAGCATGCAGAAAAATAGTAATGCCAATGAATGCAGCAGTGTCAAAGTGAAAATAAGTCAGCAAGACGGAAATGCGCACATACAAACTTAGTTTGCAGCAGCGGTACAACGTAGCAAAAACTGCTTGTGGTATGGAGATAGTTGCTAAATTTCACAGCAGTAGCGCAAGGTTATGCACTAGTCCGCGTACCGTACTCTGTAGTCGTGCAGGGTGTGAAAGCGCTGGAAGCATTCACCGGGACACATCATGCGTACGCACTGCACGCACTGCCAGCTAGTTTGCTTCCGGTGGTCCGGTCGTCTGCTGCACACAACGCAGTCTCGCTTCCCTTCAACAGCTAGCTGCGTACAAAAGTGTCGCTCAGTTAGCCGAGCTGTGTCCACATCGTCAGTAGTTGCTGGTACAGATCTGCGACGTGGTTCACCAATCGGCCACTGTGTTTCAGTGAACAGGGAAGCGATGAGCGCCTTGTGGAATTCCTTTCCGTCAAGGTCTTTGCCTGTCATTGCGTTGTAGATTATTTTCGCGTTGTGCACCGAAATTTCCAGCAGCTGATGGAAAAGGATCAGGTACCAACGGCGGTGACGATGCGGGAATGCGTAGTAGCTCAGCATCTGATCCGCCTCGTCCACGCCGCCCATCAAACTGTTGTAGCTGGCGATGCATGATTGCTTTTTCACGGACCGAACTCCTTGAGGCGCACGCCGGTCGCGAATATCTACATCGACAACTTCACAAGAGTGAATCGTCGAGAGAACTGTCACTTGCTTCTTGTCCGGCCAGGAGCATGTGAGAACTGTTTCATCTCTCCAGAATCTCGGCGGCGTGCCCTTCTTTTTCCTGTCCTTACATGCTGGTGGAAGCCCTTTCCGATTGACTCTCACTGTGCCGACAGCTCCCATTCCACGGCGCGACGACAGCCACTGAAATAAGGTAGGTGACGAATAATAATTGTCCATGTACACTACGTGCCCTTGGCCGAGGTGTCGAACCAATTTCGCCACTATCTGACTGCCCTTCGATGTGTCGGCCATGGCTACGTCTCGGCCCTCGGCCATATCCTTGCCGGTGTACAGAGTCCACTCGTATATGTATCCCGTACCCGGCTCCGCAAGGACGAATGCTTTCACGCCCCACTTGGTCGGTTTGGCCGGCATATATTGTTTGAATGATAGGCGACCCTTGTACGCAATCATTTGCTCATCCACAGACACATCCCTCTTAGGGTAGTAGGACAGTCTGAAGCGCTTGACGATTATGTCCAGGAATTTACGAATCTTGGCGAGAGGGTCTTGATACCTGCCGTGCTCGTCATACTCGATGGTTGTGTTATCCACGAAATGAAGGCACGACAGGATCAGTTGGAAACGATTCCTGGACATAACCTTGGCAAAGCCGGGTGTCTGGTAGAGCCAGTCCGTCGTCCAATGGTCTGCCAGCGCTGGTTGCTCCACGATGCTCATGGCGAGCAAGAGTACGAAAAACACTTTCAATCTCGCGTGACGAGATGTCATGCCACTTGCGCATCCGGGAGCTTGGAAAGTGAGCGCCGAGGGCTTCCAGTTTTCGCTGCGCATACAGATTTGTTTGCGTGACGGCTATGTCCACGGCTTCATCCGTGAACATCATAGCGAAACAGTCTGCCGGCGAGATGTTTTCATCGGCCTGTGCCGTTGGCCCACGTTGGCGAGTTACTCCCGGCAGCCATGCACTCGCATTCGCGGTGTCGTTGTCAGCCGTGACGGTCCGCCAGTTCCACACTCGCGGTTGTTCTTCGTCGTCTTCGTCGCTTCCTTGAAGGTCGCTATCGTCATCTTCGCTACTGCCGACATCGAAGCCTTCGAACTCAGACTCATCAGACTCACCGTCAAAGATTCTGTGGATTTCACCGTCAACTTCCTCCTGTGTCATCTCTACCTCTCGCGCTGCGCCTTGAGTCGCCATTGTCACTCGAAAGTGTTTGAGTTTTGAACGAGCGTTTCTCGCTTTTTATAGATACGAACACCCGGTTTTTTCTATTGAACTAGATACCTCCACCCACGGATAACGCCAGGTCAAAAGCGTGGGACGGAGCTACAGACCTCTGGTACTGTAGGACACGTCCAAAAATACCCCTCCGTCGGGCTCTTCATAGAGCCTTGGCATTCTCACACAGAAGTGTGTCGGACTCTCTACGTCGCCCGTGGCACTGTAAACTAGAAGTACATAGGGCTCATTTCGGCAGCCGTGGCACTTGACAGGTGACAAGCCAGGGGCTCTTTTCGTCGACCGTGGCACTTAGAGGGTTAACCCTTTCACTGCCAGCTGACCACTCAAGGTGACAAGGCGCTCCCTGCCAGGCTGTCAGCTGAGCTGTACACCCCCTCCCTGCCAGGCACTTTTTGCCTCCAGCTCGAAAAATCGAATGGCCAACTTCTCATGGATTTTTTGGTACTTTCTGTACGGAATATCGCTTTCCAAAGTATACATCGTAGGTAGACAACTCATAAAGGAAGCCATTGCCGTCGAAAAAAATCGCAAAATCCGAAGTACAACCGTGCTGAGCGCTCTAGCGCCAGCCGCTGTGCAAAAATGCATGTCATGTCATGCGAAAGTGCGCCGTGCGCCGCATGCGCTACATACACTATGTACACGATCGGCCCGGACACTCGCGAAGTAAAGTTAGTTGTTGTTTTGGAGAGAGAAGCAGATCCTTTTTTTGTTAGCTGGGATTGAAAGATCTGCCAGTGGACCGGAGAGCTACAACACTGGAAGCAGAAGAGATGGCGTGCGGAATGTTCTCTGTCTTCGTGGCAACAAGACTTCAGTTGCGAGAAACTTTCGTCCTGTTGTTGCGGACGAAATTCTAGTTGCTGCCACCAGAAAACTCGGAGAACGAAACGATCGTAAGTCGTTTGGTGAAGCAGATCGTGTCGGTGAACAGCTGCGGAATGTTCTGCCGCCATGGTGGTCGTTTGTTCTCCTGACCAGCAGCAGTCCGAATACATTTCGACTTCGGAGAGTGAAGCGCTTCCCTGTTCCGTTGACAAGCGCGGCGTTCGCGGGTGTAATGCACTTTCGCATCAGCTTGCAGTAGATCGTCAGGTATTGAGCTTGAGGTAGGTGTCGTTGTAGGAAGAATATAATAATTATGTTGTAGCTGACATACCTGTGGTGTCTCTTGACTGTGCTGGTCGCCATTGTAACGTGGTAGTTCTTAGAAAAGTTTAGTTCTGGACTCGGTGAGCGCCGGCAGCGCTGTTTCCGCCAAGTTTGCAGTGAATGCGTCCGTGAGGAATCCGTCGTGTGGTTGTCTCTACCCGTGACTCCAACCGCCTATCGCAATGGATAGCCGCCTGGAGTCTTGGGCAATGGCTAGGCATCAAGTCTGAACCAAATGCCATGCTCCTTGCAATGAAAGTTGACGGGAAAGAGAAAAAACGGGCTCCGACTCAGCAAGGTGGAAGTGCGTGAGAACCGATTTCTTCCGCGCCGCTCGGCTAAAAATCAGATGCGCATTTTCAACGACGCTGGTTCGATTTTTTTCAAATGGCAACCCATGCTTCTGGCAGCGTATTTCGATGGGTATGGACCTCTTCTAGGGCCTAATGGCCCTCTACCACGGCTAAACATCTCCAATAGTCAAAAATAGTGGCCCAAACTGGGTGAAGTCTGCCTGTCAACAAAAGTCGACGGCGGCACTGGGGACTGCATGTTTGCTTGTCGACTTTCGTCGACAGTGGCACTCAGAGTGCATGAATGCGCTGTCGACTTTCGTCGACAGTGGCAGTGAAAGGGTTAAATTTCAGGATCTGTAGAATTTGGGGCGCTGGGTCGAATGGTCTTCGCCCGAGGAGGCTGCGGTCCATGGTTCGTCAAATATACCCAATCGAACATGTGCAAATTTGAGCGCGCAGTCACTAGGCCCAGACAGATCCTGCCGGCAATTCTTTCGCGAAATATCGAAGAACTGAAAGAGCGGAAATTGCTGGCAAAATCGGAGCAAAATATCGAGATGTTGGGTAAAATCGATGCCTGATACTTGGATTTCCTTGTTTCTTACCCGTTCAGCATGATACGCTGCCCAGGGCGAGATCATGTCACCGAAATATCACTCATAAAGGAAGCCATTGCCCTCGAAAAAAATCCGAAGTACAAGCTTGCTGCGCGTTCTAGCGCCAGCCGCTGTGCAAAAATGCATGTCATGTCATGCGAAAGTATGCAGCATACACTTCATACACTATGTACACGACCGGCCCGGACAGTCAGGAAGTAAAGTTGTTGTTTTTGGAGAGAGAAGTAGATCCTTTTTTTAAGTTTTTTTTTGCTCGGTGGGATTGAAAGATCCGCCAGTAGACCGGAGAGCTACAACACTGGAAGCAGAAGAAAGGGCTTGCGGAGTCTTCTCTGTCTTCGTAGCAACAGGACAGTTGGCGAGAGACTTTCGTCCTACATACCTGTAGTGTCTCTTGACTGTGCTGGTTGCCATTGCAACATGGTAGTTCTTAGAGAATTTTAGTTCTGGACCTAGCGAGCGCCGCCAGCGCTGTTTCCGTCAAGTTTGCAGTGAATTCGTCCTTGAGGTATCCATCGTCTGGTTGTCCCTACCCATGACTCCAACCGCCTAACGCAATGGATAGGCGCCTGGAGTCTTGGGCAATAGCTAGGCATCAAGTCTGAACCAAATTTCATGCTCCTTGCAATGAAAGTTGATGGGAAAGAGAAAAATACTCGCACCGACTCGGCAAGGTGGAAGTGCGTGAGAACCGATTTTTTCCGCGCCGCCCAGCTAAAAATCGGATGTGCATTTTTCTACAACGCTGGTTCAATTTTTTTAAATGGCAACCCATACTTCTGGCAGCGTATTTCGATGATCTCTTCCAGGACCCAGTGGCCCTCTACCACGGCTAAACATCTCCAATATTCAAAATAGTGGCCCAAACTGGGTGAAGTCTGCCTGTCGACGAAAGTCGACGATGGCACTGGGAACTGCATGTTTGGTAGTCGACACAAGTCGACAGTGGCACTCAGAATGCATGCATGCGCTGTCGAATGCAGTCAACAATGGCAGTGAAAGGGTTAACGTTTGGCCTAATTCAGAACGGCGTTGGGTAGCAACACAGTTTGTTTCTCCGCAGCTGGACCACTTTGTTGCTGCGGCACTGTCCGGAAACCAGTGATGCAACAGGTCAGACTGACAGACCAGACCCCCTCTGCTACGAAACGATTAATTCAGTAAAATTGAGGGCCCGGATCCCCAGATGGCACTCGAAGCAGAACTCGCCAAACACACAAAGGAATACACCAGAAAAGTTTCAAATTTGTAAATTGCAACGGCTACGTACCCATGTTCCACGGCCCAATAACTTCATTGTCAAGTACAGTGAAGCTGCAGCAACTTGAGATGGAGGGAATGCTGAAAAGTCATATTCTGGCAAAGTCAATTCCATCAAGTATTTCGCCACGGTGTGCATCAATGCATCTGCCTGACAACACAAAAAAAAGAAAAAAGATTATAGATCCAACACTGTAACTCCCAAATGTTTTCCTAAAGACAAACATGCAATGACACTCGAGAAGAGAAAAAGGTTTCAGGCTCTTGACAATCAACATTTTCAAAAATTTCCACCGTCTTCGATGTGTACGAGCCTATGCATTTTTACTGTGTTGTTTCTGGCTACTGTTCATTGTGCTGTTTCTCTCACATCTCTACTAAGTACTGTCTCAGCTTAATTGGGCTTGTTCAGTTCTTTTTTTGCCTGTAGTCCACATGATGATAACGCAGTAAAAGCACTTTTTGGAAAAGTTTTGATAATGCTTATCGTGAAGGGCATGGAACTTGTTTTCTTCTCGAGTGTCACCCCAAATGTTAATGACAATTATTATCTTTCTGTACACACAAATTAGGCTTATACAGACGCTGACAGATGGCTTCCAAAACCTTTAACTGTAGTCCATAACCATGACGACCACGGCACAATACAGTGAATGAAGAGTCGGAATACGAATTGCAACAATCAGTACTAGCCAACAGATGATTGTACACTGAAGACTTGCTACCACGAAACCTACGCACACCACTAACATTCTCACCGGCACTCTCACGATCACTACAATCACTACAATTACTACAATTATTATATTGAGCGTTTCATGTTGTTGACGTATTTATATGACTATCTACTTCAGCGATCGAGGAATTCAGTTGTACATGAAATTATGCTCAATGATTTCGAAAAAGTGATCCTAAAGCTTGCTACAGGGACTCGGAATGGAGGAATCGAATCAACCCTGTTTAGTAGGGCAAGACCAGCAAATCTCCCCCCCCCCCCCACACACACACACAGACCCAACACTATCTACACACACGTGCGCGCGTGCGCACGCACTTACACACGCCCATCGTTGAAGCAATTATAGCGAACAAACTATAGTAGACATAGCAACTTGTGCTGGGATTACACCATCCAACAGCCTGCAAGGCTGATGAATTGACCGCCACTAAATTTTAGCCTGGTTTACCACACACACACACACACACACACACACACACACACACACACACACACACACACACACACACACACACACACACACACACACACACACACACACACACACACACACACACACACACACACACACACACACACACACACACACACACACACACACACACACACACACACACACACACACACACACACACACACACACACACACACACACACACACACACACACACACACACACACACACACACACACACACACACACACACACACACACACACACACACACACACACACACACACACACACACACACACACACACACACACACACACACACACACACACACACACACAGCTGTACAGTCATGCACTTCATGCAATGGAAATCTACTCAAGGCACAATGCCTATCACTCTGCACCGACATTATTAATCCTGATGTTGCCTGACCATAGCTGGTAAAAATAATCTAAACAATATCACCAATACTTACTCCACCAGCCTTAGAGTTTCGCCGAAGAAACTGCAAGCAGAATGGCTTGCCCAGCTCAAAATCCAGTGTCTTCAGGATTTCTCCTTCCATTGCTCGGATTTGTACTTGACTATATGCTCTGTCTGTCACAAATACAAAGTCCTCCACCATCGGCGCATACGTCTCCTCGTACTTGGAGGCGATAAGCATTGAGGTGACGCCCACCAGCTGTAACTTAGTTCTCGGCACGTTGACAAGCTACACAACAAAAACAAACCGCACAACATGATGCAAGTCCTCAGTACACAGAGCCCTCAAGTAAACACAAGAGCCCCTGAACTATAAAGAAATATCTTTCATTTATTATCGCGATGAGGTTCCGCGCACGGTGTTTTTGGTTGTTACTAGTACAGGTAGACTCCCTCTAATTCGAACCTCAAATTGCCAGGCCCCAACTTCGAAATATCTGGAACTTCTAATTATCCAAATGCAGTTCCATGTACTGATATGTATGTCAAAATGCTCGAAATTACATGCTGATTATTTTTGCACATTTTATTTGCAGGCAGGCATAGTAGGATGGTCTAAGACCATGATTGAGAAACAGAGGGTGTCAGGTTCAAGTCCTGCTTGGAAGCGGAAGGAATTTTTCCAGCCGTGCTGCGACTCACAGTTAATTGGGAACTCGTGGCCTGGCACGAGGGTAACATGGATGCAGCTAATGGGATTTCAGTCTTTGACCACTTGGTGGTGGTTCTGATCTACTCACCTCCCACCGTTTAGGGGCTGCATCTGCGCCCGTGATTCTAGAGGGTGGTGGCGTTCCCACGGCGGATGCGGAAAACTCGGCTTCTAGCCGAGTCTCACACGAACCGTGAAATTTATTTTTAATTTATTTGCATCAACGAAACGTAGGTGGTCATGAACAACGAAATCGGTTCATTTCATCAACACACTGGATCGACACAAAGTCATTGGACATTATCTTCATCTTCTACGAAGTTCTAGCGAAGCAGTTTTCAATCGCTGCAGCTGTCCTCAGACAATTTCGACGGAAAAGAACAGCGCTGCCTTCTCTGCGTCATGAAAGCCCGTCGGAGAGCAGCACGTCGTTCTCAAGAACGGAAGTGGAGCATAGGCATAGACAATTTGTACGCCTTCCAGTTGTTTTTCAGTCCCAAACTTCTCTGTGCATGAGCTGGCGCGGCATGACAAGCCACTAAGATTCGCAAAGGGAGCCAGCCACCTAGAAGAAGTCGTCTTCAATCAAATCTTCACACTTTGCCTTGCACAGGCTTGAGAAGGTGGGTTTCTTCAACGCTAGTGTCAATCCTGGAGCGGACCAGGGATCGATTTTTGAGTTACTCTTGGCTAGAGAAGGAGAACAAATGAACTTCGAATTACGAGTAGAGTAACTCCACCTCACTTTGAAATAAGGGCTCGAAGGACCTAGTCACTGTACTGTAAACTGCTCTTCTGTACCAAAACAGAGTTCGAATTATCCAGCAGGCACACTTTTCGTACTTCGAATACGCATACGAATTTGACTTGAAGTGACTTGAAGAAGATCGGTACGACGAAAAAGTTCAAATTACACGGAATGTTCGAATTATACCGTATTCGAATTAGAGGGAGTCTACCTGTATCATTATTTTAATGAAAACCTGAAGCTCTGAAGCTGCATAAGCACCGTTATGTTCCAGTGCTTTTCTCAATAGATACGTACAGGATGTAATAATGTCAAGTCACAGTGATACCGGAACTGGAAAGTAAGAGATGGAATAATGTTAACGAAAGCGATATTCCGCACAGAGTGCAACGAAAAAGTGAAACCCCCATGGGAAGCTGGCTTTTCGATTTTCTTAGCTGAAGGTAAAGAGTGCCCGGGCAGGAGGTGTACAGGTCAGCTGATGCCTGGCAGGGAGTGCCTTATCACCCCCAGTGGTCAGTTGGCAGTGAAAGGGTTGATATAATGCCATTCCGATAAGGCGAGAGAGCATATAACTATAGTCTATACAATCACACACACACACACATACACACACGCACACGTGCGAAGAGCAAAAGCATTGTAGAGCAAGCAGAGACATGAACATACCGATAGGAAGCGATCAATGATGGATACGGTCACATAAAGGGTCTCTTGTAGCAGCTTAAAGCGCTGCTGTACTTGAATAAGCCAGTCAACGAGGACACTACGCATTGCACTCGTAACTTCACGCTGATCAGACATGAAGTCAACTGGCACCACATACTTCCTCTGTGGGACAGACAAAATAGCAGACACAGCATACCATAGTTTATATAAAAGCTACAGCTTGTATGCATTTATTGATCGAATTTCAGAGGCTTGTGAATGGGACCTGCTTCTATAAAGCTTTTTCAAGGACGCCGTTCCCGCCACCACCCCGGCGCTCACCCCGAGATTGTGGTGAACTGGTTGCAGGTCAAAACGCATTGAAAAGTATACGAACTGTGACAGGTTCGTCTCGACCAGGGCTTGGAGCGATCCTGAAGCTTGTTCTTTTTCACCCCGGCAACTGCTCTGACTCAACACGAGTGTCCGACATCAAGTGGAGCGCCATTCTACTGCTTCTTTCACCTCCACGCATCCTTTCCCATACAAAGTGAACGTGAACTGGGCTTCACCTGTTCACCAGCGATATACACACACACACACACATACACACACATGCACGCACACACGCATACACAGGCATCTACGTTCGTATTACAAATCTAAGCGCACACAAAATGCCCGCAATCACGCGTCTAAACCCGGAGCGCCCATTGCTGTCTATGTTACTGGGTTAAAATATATACACACATGTACCGGAAGTCCGCTGTAAACACTTACCCTCCCCTGGGCAAGTTGTACATGCCTGTATGCACTGACCCCATGCACTGCCTGTATGCACTGACCCCATGCACTGTCACTGGTACGGTACGTGATAAACTTAAAAAATATCTCCACACCGTGGCACGAAGAGCTCTTTTCTACAACAACCTATGTCCACTTTCCTGATCTCTTCTGGCACTGACTACAAAGTACACTAGGAAAAATAAACTTCTAGCCATCACTTCTTAACGAAATCATCCCACTTATGGGCTCACCACACCTCAGTAAGTGGGTGAGCTCCTGCTCCCAGTGAAGGTAATATGTGTTGCTAGTGCGGGTGGTTAAAATCAGAGTGGATCTGATATAAGCATCACTACAGTACAGTTGGGTTCCGAAGAACTGGGGGGTCAGCCGTGTACCCTAGGCCGTTCTTATTATCATGTTCTATGGTCTATGCATAGTTGAGTCGCCATGCATACATTGGTATGCTGTGCTTGGTGACATTCTAGCCTGTTCGTTCTTCAGCACTACGTTCTTTGGTATCCGACAGTACTGTACACTAGTATTGCCTTGAGCATCATACATATTTAAACACACACACACACTTGTTCACCGCACCAATACCGGTTATGTGGGTCTCCCCCTAGGAGATGGAAGAGAGATTCAGAAGAAATCACGGGGAGATGACTGAATTGGCCATTGAACAGCCCAACAGCCGACAACCCCCAACTTATGGGCCAATTTCAAAAATTACCTTAGTTATGGGCTCATTACACCGCAGTAAACGGGTGAGGACAAGAAGCAGAAGGACTCATGACCGAAGGACATCGGTCCTGGGGTCCCTCCACACTACCCCCCCCCCCCCCCCCCCCCCCCCGGTGACGATAATACTTGTTATTAGTATGGGTTGCTAAAGTGGATCAGATATAGGCTTCACTAGCACTTATGTACACTTCAAGTAGAAAGTATAAGCCATGAAGCCAACAAAGGTGGCACGCACAACAATACACTTTCAAGCAGCTGAGCCTGATAGAATGAGACCCAACCACTTTTTGGCACAAGTGCACCCATCAAACTAGTTGGCACCACACACACACACACACACACACACACACACACACACACACACACACACACACACACACACACACACACACACACACACACACACACACACACACACACACACACCATTTGACCATTTGACGCCCATCGCCGGAGGCAATGATAGCGATACTACAGCAGAAGCCATAGCAACTTGTGCTGGGATTGCACCATTCAACACACACACACACACACACACACACACACACGCACACACACACGCACACACGCACACACGCACACACACACACAACCCACGACACACAAATGACCAGTACAGATAAAACAAAAAACCACTGTTGTATGTCCAAACACACTGAGAATGTAAATGATTTGCACACACAAATACAAATGCACACACGAGTACAGGTGGAATCCTGATAATTCGAATATGGCTTAATTTGAACATACCACATAATTAGAAGTTTTTCCAGGACCGATTTCTGTCAATACGATTCCCACATGAAAATTTCTGATAATTCGAACCTCAAACCGGACATGTCTGGTTAATTAGAAGTCCCACGGATTCCACTTACATAGAAAATGAGTGGGATTTGTGCTGATAATTCGAAGTTCACTGTACACTGTACTGGTCAGTTCAGTTTGCATGAGCAGGCTGTGCCAGTCAGTTCAGTATCCGTGAAATCTGTATCTAAGGTCCATAGCGCAACTCTGCATGACCATGAGAGCATTTTGACATACATATTGTGTTGTGGGTTCATGTTTGGATAATTAGAATGTCCGGATAGTTACAGGCTTTTTTCCTGGCATTTTGAGGTTCGAATTATCAGGATTCCACCTGTACTAGAATCCATATGCGCATCCATATTAACAGAGATAAGAACAAGGCATTTAAGTAGGGCTGAAACAATTATACCGATAACTCGCATATCGATCGTTAAGAGTGCAATCGATAATCGTTAGTGTTCAAAACGAGTGCTAACGATTTTTATGTATGTATATGAGTGACAGTATTCTAGCTCTTGCACTCCATCCGATAGTGAATACGAGTACAATCATGTACTTTCAAGCGCAGTAAAATTGATTTGGGGCTTTGAAAGAGATCGGAAGAGAATACACTTTGTCTTTTCAGTTCATTTGCGGGAAAGGTCAGAGATAAGAGCAGTTGCCGGAGGGTGATGACAAGATTCTTCACACTAGAAACAACATGAAATTCTCTAGGTCATGCTGATAAACCAGTCAGATGTCTACAGATGTCAACAGTGCGGTACCACAAATTTCTAACGTAGCAAAGGTATCGTGGAATTTTTTCATAAACTGGTGTTCGAGGTACACGGGTAGAGCCGACAAGAATCGATAAAACCAATATATCGATCGTTAATGATATTGATTGATCGTTAAGAGTTATTGAATGATCGTTTCAGCCCTACATTTAAGTATAAGTAAACTGATGCTCACCTCCAGTTGCATCATGTATTGGTAAATTTCAGCAACATATTCCGCACACAGTTGAGGATTGTCTCGATCAGCAGAATCGATGTCCTCAATCTGCAAAAGCTCTGAAAAAGCCACAGCGGCCTGGGGAACGTCTACCTCATGCGACTTCTCCTGCGCACCTACAGTGGCCCGGGACTCTTCTACAACTGTTTTATCATGCCGAGATATCTTTCTAGCAGCTGGTTGGTGTGCCTGAGATTCCTGCAGTCCAGCAGTGCTCTGAAAAATCAATATGGAAAGAGATTCAATGTCACTGAAAATTGGCAAAGCCGAGCTACACAGAACACTTGTGATAACAGGAACCACGTATGGTCACAAAAAAACATCTACTCGCATTATTTACTACAGAAATATGTGTTTTCATGATCAGAAATGGGACAAACAAGTTCGTATCTTCAAGATAAATGTGCACATCCATTTCTAATTCCAACTCACCTTCTTCGGCTTCTCAGGAGCCTTAGAAGCCAAAGATATTGGTTTTCCGAGATGCTTCTTAGTGGGAGGTTTAGACGGTCCTATCAAGGAGGACTTGTTGCCGATCTCTGCCAGTGCTTTTCGTGCACCAGGCTTGCCAACTTGTTGGTAGCCATGGCCTCCTAAAGAATTGTCAATGGTCGAAGACCGCTGCAACACAAACAGAGCAAAACTTTCACTGACAGAAAACGGGCCATTTGAGCGGCCAAGTCCTATTACCAGCGAGGTTCGGCGAGGGACAGTAGCCATGAGTTCTTCAGTTCTTCTGACACCAAAATTAGCTTTGTTCTTTCACAAGTCACAACACAAAGTACAACAGGCCAGTTTGAAGGGAGAGAGCACAGTGCCGCATGCAACGACCAAAACAACTTTTCAAATTTCGTCGCCTGGCCAATCATTGGTCAACGCAATCGTAGATCTACGTCATCACACTTCGGGGTCGCGTCGAGTGACTCGAGTCTCAGGACTCACACTTTACCGTATCAGCGTGCAGCATGCGCCGGCGCCGTTCATATGAATTCACTTCCGCACCGTATTATCGATATATCCTTATTTGCATGCGTACTACATGTACAGCTGTGTACAACTAGATTCCAGTGCGCCGCTGGCCTTCCCTTTTATTTTGATGGGTTATGTACTCTTGGTTATAGGGAGGTTCTGCTATACGTGAAACGTAGAGAAATCACGTAGAGAGCAGGTGTCTGGGTTAGAGTCTACGGCTTCGCGTGTTTTGGCTCCAGATTTCTACGCGGAGATGGGGTTCTCTACGTTGTGGCACACGCAGAGAAAATGCGTACGGATTTGCTGGGTACCGGGTATCGATCAACTGCATGCAGAAAACTGCCAAATATGGAAGGGGAAATTCCCAGTACACATTCCACGTGACTTCTCTAGGTGAAACGTAGAGCAGAACAGCATTTCTTTACGTTACGGGAACGCGAAGAAAGTTCGCGTGATTCTTTGCGTCGCGTTCCCAAAACGTAGAGCAGAACCTCCCTAGTACTAGGGAGGTTCTGCTCTACGTGTTGGGATTGGGAACGCGACGCAAAGAATCACGCGAACTTTCTTCGCGTTCCCGTAACGTATAAGAAATGCTGTTCTGCTCTACGTTTCACCAAGAGTACATAACCCAGGTTATGTACTCTTGGTTTCACCTAGAGAAGTCAAGTAGAATGTGTACTGGGAATTTCCCTTCCATATTTGGCAGTTTTCTGCATGCAGTTGATCGATACCCAGCAAATCCGTACGCATTTTCTCTGCGTGTGCCACAACGTAGAGAACCCCATCTCAGTAGGGCTAGGGAGGTTCTGCTATACGTGAAACGTAGAGAAATCACGTAGAGAGCAGGTGTCTGGCCTGGGTTAGAGTCTACGGCTTCGCGTGTTTTGGCTCCAGATTTCTACGCGGAGATGGGGTTCTCTACGTTGTGGCACACGCAGAGAAAATGCGTACGGATTTGCAGGGTATCGATCAACTGCATCAAGAGTACACCCTTTGGTTATATACAGAAGCCTTGCTTGGTAGTTAACATGTTTTTCGATTTTGACAGCATGTTACAAGGCGAGGACGCGTAGTGCTCCTGACTACAACCATAAACCGGTTGGCAGAGTCCCGGTCTTGCGACCATTTGAACCGTATTGCAATTATAAAAATCCTACCAACCCGTAGAGTAACGAGGGTCCGAACCTGGGTTTTCCCAATACGGTTCAAATGGTCGCAAGACCGGGACTCTGCCAACCGGTTTATGGTTGTAGTCAGGAGCACTACGCGTCCTCGCCTTGTAACATGCTGTCAAAATCGAAAAACCCTTTGGTTATGTACTCTTGACTGCATGCAGAAAACTGCCAAATATGGAAGGGGAAATTCCCAGTACACATTCCACGTGACTACTCTAGGTGAAACGTAGAGCAGAAAAACATTTCTTTACGTTACGGGAACGCGAAGAAAGTTCGCGTGATTCTTTGCGTCGCGTTCCCAAAACGTAGAGCAGAACCTCCCTACAATTTTTTTGTAGTCGAGTCTGGAGCCAAAACACGCGAAGCCGTAGACTCTAACCATGCTAACCCAGACACCTGCTCTCTACGTGATTTCTCTACGTTTCACGTATAGCAGAACCTCTCTAGTAGGGAGGTTCTGCTATACGTGAAACGTAGAGAAATCACGTAGAGAGCAGGTGTCTGGGTTAGAGTCTACGGCTTCACGTGTTTTGCCTCCAGATTTCTACGCGGAGATGGGGTTCTCTACGTTGTGGCACACGCAGAGAAAATGCGTACGGATTTGCTGGGTATCGATCAACTGCATGCAGAAAACTGCCAAATATGGAAGGGGAAATTCCCAGTACACATTCCACGTGACTTCTCAAGGTGAAACGTAGAGCAGAACAGCATTTCTTTACGTTACGGGAACGCGAAGAAAGTTCGCGTGATTCTTTGCGTCGCGTTCCCAAAAGGTAGAGCAGAACCTCCCTAATTATAATAATATAATTATCTCTAATATAAGTGGTTAGAGCATCGCTAGCTACAAGTGAGGGTCCCTGGTTCGAGTCCTGGTGGTGACAGTCAATTTTTTCTTCAGACTTTTCCCGTTTGTCTCTTTCCCTCAAACTAGTGAAGATAAGCACGGTCCTTTATTTTTTCAGTGTCCTCATTTCAGAGGCATTGATTGATTAGTAGTAGAATAGTAGTAGTAGTAGAATTTATTATTTTGATAGGGAAGGCCCTACAGACGTTGCCGTCTTGTTACAGGGAACCCTAAGTGCTCTTTACAGAGCGAAACAAAAACGGATAGATGCTCAACCTGACGACACGAGACAGGCAGAGAATTCCACCTATCAGCGCCAAGGAAAGAAATAGAGAACATGCCATATCTAGTGGTAGCAGCGGGCAAAGAAAGTGAAGAGAATGATTGCCCTCTAGTGCGCCTCTCGGTGCAAGTAGCAGCCGACTGCAGGGTGAACATTGAGGAAAGAAGAGGACTTGTAAGCTGATGAATACAGCGGAAAACAAAAATAAAAAGCCTCAAGTTGAGACGAGATTCGAGGGAGTACGAGGTGGTTTGGCTTTTTTTTAACATGGTTGTAAAATGACGTTTTTTCAGTCACTTCTAGACAAGCTACGTCCAAATGAATTGTTGCAAGTGGAAGTGCTATCCTTCATGCCCGTTGTGTCCAAAAATGGGAATGATTCCACTTTGGAAAGTGTCTTGAATCATGTCCTACTTTCATTGTATTCTCAGGATTCAAATAATTGGTGTGTCATTTTTTAACAAATTTGTAAAATGGCATCACAAACTGGGATATTCGGTCATCAATGTTCTGAAGTTGATAGATATCACTTCAAGGATTGCTAGTGGATGAAATTAATCTATCAACAGAGGAGTGAACTGCATTGTATGCTGCGAAACCCGTGTTTTTGCATTTGTAACTAGTGGCTGTGTTATACGGTGGAATTGGATAGATAGCATAGCATCGCAGCGATGTTTTCGTTCTCACAGAGTGTATTCCGTGACCTACTGTTCTTCATTACTGTCTCTAGTGATGGCAAGACGGCCTGACGTCGTCCAAAGGCCCTGCGGAAGCAATTCACTGCCCTCCTCGTCCATTCAGGGGCTCATTTTACACATTTTACACAAAATGGCAAAGCACCCACCACTAGTTATACGAACGTGGCAGGGAGAATTAAATTATATGCACCAAATTTTCTGGTCAATGTTGATCTACGATAAACTGGCTCTCATTTGCCACCACCCATGTTTCGATACAGCCATCCGGAGCAGAGAAACAGCCAGAAGAAAAGCAAATTTTACACATTTGTTAAAAAATGCCAAATGTTAAAAAAAGCCAAATCACCTCGTATAACTTAGCGTGCCGCAAAACAAAGACAGTCGGGGTACGGCGAGGGAGACCAAAAACCTTTTTCATGCTGATATGACTTAAAGTAACAAGGCGAGAGTATAAAGATGGTGTAAGACAGTGAGCATACGAGTTGCTGGCGTATTCAATAGTGGATTGGATGAGGGATAAATAAAATATTCGCTTAGTTGTGTGGTCTACTGTACCGTGTACGGCGGCAGCGGCGGAATGCTCCTATCTTCTTATAAACAGATGTACATACATGGTTGACTTGATCCTCAAAGGTGAGGTGTTGGTCAATAATGAGGCCAAGATAACGCGCTGTGGCAGAAGGTCGAATATCGACACCACCGCATGCAATGGTAAGATCCGGCGGAAGAGGCAGAGCCTTCTTCCGAAGCACCATGAACTTCGTTTTCTGGGCATTCAAGATGAGACCAATGCTTCCAAGGTACGTATTTAGTCTGTTCAACTCACTTGTCAACTTGCGCTGAAGTTCTCCAGTAGACTGACAGTGTATATAAAAGGCGATATCGTCAGCATACTGTTGGGACTCTGCGTGGCGAAGTACTCCAGGGACATGTCGCACGTACAAAGAGAATAACAGAGGCCCCAGCACCGACCCTTGCGGAACGCCTCGTGTACAATGTGTCTCGTCTCCTCTGTTATTTCCAATTTTCACCTGTTGTCGTCGACCCTGGAGATAGCTGGAGAACCACTGTAGTGCTACTCCGCTTATGCCAATAGCTTGAAGCTCGTTAAGTAGTAGTTCATGGCGTACCCGATCGAAGGCCTTGCTCATGTCCACGAGTACAACCCCGCAATACTCGCCCTTGTCCACACTCATCATCCAGCGGTTTACTGCGAGAGTTAACGCATCCTCACAGGAGTGCCCTCTGCGGTAGGCGAATTGCTCGTCTGGGAGAATACGAAGCTCAGCGTGATCTTGAAGGAACCGAATCATTTGCCGATGTACTACCTTCTCAAGGATCTTAGAAACAATCGGCAAAAGTGAAACGGGGCGATAATTCGACGCTTCAGATTTGTCCCCTGACTTGTGGACAGGACACACTGTAGCCAATTTGTAGACGTCTGGCACCATTCCAGTACTCAAGGACTCGTTAATGATCTGCGCTATGGGACCTGCAGCGGCAGGCTCACAGAGGCGTAGGAGCAGAGGAGGAATGTCATCCGATCCAGCTGCCTCGGCACAGTTCAAATGCTTCAACAGGTCGCTTATCTCCAGAGCTGAAACGGCACGAAATTCTTTAAAAGAAGGGGCGTCTGCGTCAGCTGTTGTCGAGATGTCAGGTATTAGGTTGCTCAAGGGTGGGCAAGGATTAGGATCAGTGACAATGGACGCAAATGTGGCACTCAGATCGCCTAACGTAGCTTTTGGTTGTTCACGGACAAAGTTGCGCCCTGTGAGCGAGTTTAGAAGCGCCCACTATTGCCTTGGCTTATTCTTCACATCTCGAAACTCCCTGTTGTAATACTCTCGTCTCA